ACGGGGACCTTCGGTGGAGCTCCCTATGGGGCCACGAAACGCGTGAAGGGTGTGCCGAAATGGGTGTGCGGGACGCATGCGGGCACACCCACTCGGACCTTCGGTGGAGCTCCGCATGGGGCCACGAAACGTGTGAGAGGTGTGCCGAAATTGGTGTGCGGGACGCATGCGGGCACACCCACTGGGACCTTCGGTGGAGCTCCCTATGGGGCCACGAAGCGTGTGAGGGGTGTGCCGACATGGGTGTGCGGGACGCATGCGGGCACACCCACTGGGACCTTCGGTGGAGCTCCCTATGGGGCAACGAAATATGTGAAGGGTGTGCCGAAATGAGCGTGCGGGACGCATGCGGGCACACCCACTGGGACCTTCGGTGGAGCTCCTAATGGGGCCACGAAACGTGTGAGAGGTGTGCCGAAATGGGTGTGCGGGACGCATGCGGGCACACCCACTGGGACCTTCGGTGGAGCTCCCTATGGGGCCATGAAACGTGTGAGGGGTGTGCCGAAATGGGTGTGCGGGACGCATGCGGGCACACCCACTGGGACCTTCGGTGGAGCTCCCTATGGGGCCACGAAACGTGTGAAGGGACCGAAATGGGTGGCGGACGCATGCGGCACACCCACTGGGACCTTCGGAGCTCCCTATGGGGCCACGAAACGTGTGAGGGGTGTGCCGAATGGGTGTGCGGGACGCATGCGGGCACACCCACTGGGACTTCGGTGGGCTCCCTATGGGGCCACGAAACGTGTGAGGGGTGTGCCGAAATGGGTGTGCGGGACGCATGCGGGCACACCCACTGGGGCCTTCGGTGGAGCTCCCTAGGGGGCCACGAAACGTGTGAGGGGTTGTGCCGAAATGGGGCGTGCGGGACGCTACGCGGGCACCCCACTGGACGTCGGTGGAGTGCCATGGGGCCACGAGGGTTTAACGAAATGGGTTGTGCGGGACGCATGCGGGCACGAGGGGTGTTGGAAATGGGTGTGCGGGACGTGGCATCCCTATGGGGCCACGAAACGTGTGAAGGGTTTCCGAATGGGTGTGCGGGACGCATGCGGGCACACCCACTCGGACCTTCGGTTGGGCTCCCTATGGGGCCACGGAACGTGTGAGGGGTGTGCCGAAATGGGCGTGCGGGACGCATGCGGGCACACCCACTGGGACCTTCGGTGGAGCTCCCTATGGGGCCACGAACGAAACGTGTGAGGGGTGTGCCGAAATGGGTGTGCGGGACGCATGCGGGCACACCCACTGGGACCTTCGGTGGAGCTCCCTATGGGGCCACGAAGCGTGTGAGGGGTTACCGAAATGGGTGTGCGGGACGCATGCGGGCACACCCACTGGGACCTTCGGTGGAGCTCCCTATGGGGCCACGAAACGTGTGAGGGGTGTGCCGAAATGGGTGTGCGGGACGCATGCGGGCACACCCACTGGGACCTTCGGTGGAGCTCCCTATGGGGCCACGAAACGTGTGAAGGGTTGCCGAAATGGGTGTGCGGGACGCATGCGGGCACACCCACTGGGACCTTCGGTGGAGCTCCCTATGGGGCGAAACTGAAAACGGACGCATGCGGGCACACCACTGGGACCAGTGGAGCTCCCGATGGGGCCACGAAACGTGTGAGGGGTGTGGCGAAATGGGTGGCGGGACGCATGCGGGCGGCAGCCATGGGGCCTTCGGTGGAGCTCCCTATGGGGCCACGAAACGTGTGAGGGGTGTGCCGAAATTGGTGTGCGGGACGCATGCGGGCACACCCACTGGGACCTTCGGTGGAGCTCCCTATGGGGCCACGAACGTGTGAGGGGTGTGCCGAAATGGGTGTGCGGGACGCATGCGGGCACACCCACTGGGACCTTCGGTGGAGCTCCCTATGGGGCCACGAAACGTGTGAGGGTGTGCCGAAATGGGTGTGCGGGACGCATGCGGGCACACCCACTGGGACCTTCGGTGGAGCCCCCTATGGGGCCACGAAACGTGTGAGGGGTGTGCCGAAATGGGCGTGCGGGACGCATGCGGGCACACCCACTGGGACCGTCGGTGGAGCTGCCTATGGGGCCACGGAATATGTGAAGGGTTTACCGAAATGGGTGTGCGGGACGCATGCGGGCACACCCACTGGGACCTTCGGTGGAGCTCCCTATGGGGCCACGGAACGTGTGAAGGGTTTACCGAAATGGGTGTGCGGGACGCATGCGGGCACACCCACTGGGACCTTCGGTGGAGCTCCCTATGGGGCCACGAAACGTGTGAGGGGTGTGCCGAAATGGGTGTGCGGGACGCATGCGGGCACAGGGGGGAGGAGGGGGAGGAGGAGCGGGAGGAACGCGGGGCAACGTCTACAGGATGGTTGGGAAATACTAGGGAAACGGCCCTCGGGCGGCCATTCACAATCAAACACGCTGCCCTCGCCCCTCCCCCGGACCCCTCCCCGGAAGGATTCGCCCCGTCATCACTCGCACCTCGCTCTGTCCGGTAACAGCGCAGATACAAAATGTAACTTCCCAGCATCGGTGGCAACTCACTGGAGCCTCCCATACCATCTTGCCGGCATTTTCGAATCGACGCTAATCGACGCGAATCGGCACTAAATCGACGCTAATCGACTCTAACCGACGCTAACCGACGCTAAATCGGCGCCATCTCATCGACTCCCAGACACTAATCGACGCGAATCGACGCTGGCGACGGAATTCAGAGGGTACACCGGGCTCCCATGATTTGCCACTTTTGTCAGACGTGCGTTTGATTCGCCCATGTCGTCCAGCCCCCCATCTGAACCAAAAAAGGCCAGATTCTGCTGAGACGTCCTCACGATTCGCTCTCGAACTGGCCACGACGTGCAGGTGACGCTGGCGGTGTGCTGCCCGCGCCGAGGCGAGAACGCCGTTTGGACGGACTGTCGGCCATTATACGGAAGTTCGGCCCTCCCCCAAAATGCGGCCGAATCCGCCTCGCTCGGCGGCGGAAATCAGCGATTTCCGGCTGAAAAGGGACCCGTCGCCAATCCACGCCCCCTTAACCCCTGTTTGCGACCGCCTAAGCCCCATATGTTTCCAGATCTTTTCGATGTTCGGCTGCCCCCCCAGCCCCCACATTTTCCCACATGTTCCTTGGGATCGACGATGAATTGTGTGCTTTTTTCCCCTCCTGATAGGGAGCAGGCACCCCGCCGCGGTGCGCGCGCAGTGGCCCAGTAGGCTCAAATCGGGCCTGTCTCTCTACAGGGGGAATACTCAAAATTACGCCAACGAGGAACCCCACATAATTATATCACGGCTGGAGTGATGATAGCTGAAGTGAAGCATGTGGGAATGACGTTGGTGGCCGTTCCCTGCGCACCCCCTATGGTGTCGAGAAAATGCCACGCCTGCTATGCCCTGGACGACCGTCGTGCATAGCGGCCGCGGTCGACCGTCATGCATAGCGGCCGCGGTGAGGGACCACCCCCTGCGCACCCCCTATGCTGTCGAGAACATGCCACGCCTGCTATGCCCTGGACGACCGTCGTGCATAGCGACCGCGATGAGGGACCATCCCCTGCGCACCCCCTATGGTGTCGAGAAAATGCCACGCCTGCTATGCCCTGGACGACCGTCGTGCATAGCGGCCGCGGTGAGGGACCACCCCCTGCGCACCCCCTATGGTGTCGAGAAAATGCCACGCCTGCTATGCCCTGGACCACCGTCGTGCATAGCGGCCGTGGTGAGGGACCATCCCCTGCGCACCCCCTATGGTGTCGAGAAAATGCCACGCCTGCTATGCCCTGGACGACCGTCGTGCATAGCGGCCGCGGTGAGGGGCCACCCCCTGCCTACCCCCTATGGTGTCGAGAAAATGCCACGCCTGCTATGCCCTGGACAACCGTCGTGCACCTGCTATGCTCTGGACGACCGTCGTGCATAACGGCCGCGCTGAGGGACCACCCCCTGCGCACTCCCTACCGTGCCCTGCGCGCTAGCCCTGCGTGCTCTGCTGTGCTGAGCTGTGCTGTGCTGTGCTGTGCCGAGCTGAGCTGTGCTGTGCTGTGCTGTGCTGAGCTGAGCTGTGCTGAGCTGTGCTGAGCTGTGCTGAGCTGTGCTGAGCAGTGCTGTGCTGTGCTGTGCTGTGCTGCGCTGTGTGAGAAGGGGAAGAGGGAGGTGAGTGAGTGAGCGCGGGTGCGACGAGGCATGGAAGAAAACCAGAAGCCCACTAAGCATGTGGGGAAATAGTAAAACATAGTCTGGGGACTATTTGTTGCATATGTTTTTGCCATGTTGGTGCATTTTGGGTGTATGTTTTATGTTTCGTCGGAAATCCCCCTGTAGGGGCACACGCCCGACTTACCAGTGGGCCTCGCGAGCCTGCGCGCCAGGGGGCCGCCGGACCTTGAGAGGGAGGGGAGCGGGGCGGAGCGGCCGCGCCCCTGGGCGCGGGGGGGGCGGGGCGCAGCCCCCGGCTCCTCTCTCTCTCTCTCTCGCGAGTCCTCGCTTCCTCCTCCCCCCCCCCCCGTCCCCCCCTGCCATCCCCCTGCCGAGACGAGCCTCCTCCTCCTCCTCCTCCTTCCTCCCTGCCTCGACCCTCCCTCCGTTTCCTTCCTCCTCCGACTCACCACCCCCCAGCCTCCAGCTCCTTTTCCTCCTCCTCCTCCTCCTCCTCCTTCCTCCTCCTGCTGCTCCTGCTCTCCTCTCCTCCTCCTCCTCCTCCTCCTCCTCCTCCTCCTCCTCCTCCTCCTCCTCCTCGTCCTCCTCCTCCCCTTCCTCCTCCCCCCTCCTCCTGCTCCTGCCCCTCCTCCTCCTCCTCCTCCTCCTCCTCCTCCTCCTCCTCCTCCTCCTCCTCCTCCTCCTCCTCCTCCTCCCTCCTCCCCTTCCTCCGCTCCCCCTCCTCCTGCTCCTGCCCTGCTCCTGCTCCTCCTCCTCCTCCTCCTCCTCCTCCTCCTCCTCCTCTTCCTCCTCCTCCTCCTCCTCCTCCTCCTCCTCCTCCCATCCTCGCCCTCGCCAAGAGCCACGCGAGGCGCGCGGGCCTTTCAGGTGACCGAACATCACCTGCAGCGCGGAACTGGCCTCGATGACGGCCTCGCGGGGTGACGCCGGCGACGACGACAACAGCGGTGACGACGACCACAGTGATGACGATGACGATGACGATAACGACAACGCCGACGCTGACGCCGACGACGCTGACGCCGACGCCCACGCCCACGCCTACGCCGACGCGGGCGCTGGCGCCGGCGCCGAAAACGATGCCGACGACGACGACGCCGACGACGACGACGCTGACGACGACGCCGCCGCCGCCGCCGCCGCCGCCGCCGCCGCCGACGACGACGACGACGACGACGACGACGACGACGACGACGACGACGACCACGACCACGCCCACGACCACGCCCACGACCACGCCCACGCCAACACCCACGCCCACGACCATGACGACGAAGACGACGATGACCACCACCACCACCACGACGACGATGACGACGACGACGACGACGACGATGACGCGCACCACAAGGAGCGCCGGAGAAGCACGAAAGGCGGGGTCTCTTCCGGCCAGGGCGAGAGCCTGGGCGAGCCCTCGGCCGCGAGGGGAGGCGCTCCCCGACCCGGAGCTGAGGAGCCGCCCGGACACGGGAAGCGCCCCCTCCCGAGCCCAACACGGCCCTTCGGTCGGCGTCTCGACTGCAGGCTCGAGGGGCCAAAGAGCTCCGGGCACAGCAGCGCAAGAGAACACTTGTGAGTCAGCGGCGCAGAGGGTCCTCAGGCGCGGGCAGCACATGCAAGCGCGAATTGCGATCGAGCGTACTAGAAAGCGCAGTAAAGAACCGTCGAGCACTGACGTGCAGGGGTGCGCAAGAACACACACACACACACACACACACAACGGACAAAACGAATGCGCGCCTGGTCATGGCCGTCGGCGCCGTGGGCTCCAGACCATCCATGGACTCCTCGGACCCACTCCCGCCGCTCACGTGAAGGCCTAAGGTGAGCCAGAGCAACGCAATCTCGAGCTCACTCCCGATCTGAAGACTCAAGATTTCAGCTTTGAGACTGCTGCTTCGCGTCACGTCGTGCGCCGCCCAGCCAAGAGCCACATTCTCCGAGCTACACCGCCTCCAGAAGCCGCCTCCAAGCGCTGAAGTTTCAGATGTGACGCTCGAGCCCAGATGATTGGCGTCCCGCCGTGCGCTGCATGTAACAGTATCGAACCGTCGAGAAGGGGATCGCCTACAGAATGGATGTACCCCCACATTAGCTTTCCTCGGATCTACGGAAGATGCGTCAGATGATCCGTAGATCGATTGAGCAATACATGTATACTTCGTGGACTCGACAGAAGGATCAATTCAAGGATAACTCAATTCTACAGTAGATACTCGACTCGCAACTAATCTAGAGGCCCCCTAGATGGGGTCCGAGTAGATGGGGTCGGGGGAACACGCCGCATCGCCGATACATCGGCGATGCATCGGCGATGCATCGGCGACGTCGGCGGTGCATCGGCGACGCCGGCGTGGAGAAAAGCAGGCCCCGCACCGAGCCGCATCGTCGATGCATCGGCGATGCGGCGCGATCCTCCGACCACATCTACTCCGACCTCATCTGGGAGTCCTACAGTGGAGGCCAGTCCACAAGAAACCTTCCACAGGAAACCCGACCCTCAGACCCCAGGACGTCCATTAAGTTGTGGTGTGATAACGTCACGCCTTCCACAGCAAAACCATCGAAACCCAATAAACCCAGCGCACCCTGGAGGTAAGCAGGGTGTTTCTTGGCATGGGCAGAAGGCTCGGAAGGCCTCGGGCCTCTTGAGTTGTCTAAGCCTTCCCCGAAAATGCAGAGAACTTCTCAGAACGCGCGAGGCCTTCTGAGAAGTCTCGCCGCCTTCTGAAAAGGCCTCCTCCCTCTCACATACCCCCTCGCTCGCGGCCGAGCCTACCGTATCCCCCACCTCCCCCGTCGCGCCCTCGCCATCGCTCGGACGTCCATTCCCGGTGCGGCATTTCGGTGTCGTGCGTCTGTCCGCAAGAAGACTCAGGATGCTCCTCGATGGTCCTGGCCGAGAACACATGCACACGCTCGAGCGATGCCCAGCGCCCGCTCCTTCTTACGAAACAACAGCGACAACAACAACACCACCACCACCACCAACAACAACAACAACAATAATTGTAAGACTGTTCACCATTATCTGCTCGAGTGTCCAATAACGCGTATTTCCCAAACCCTCGATACCCGCCCTCTTCGTCTTCGATCGAACCCCTTTTGGGGGGTATACCTTTCTTCCCTGCAGGCCGGGCCCCAGCAAGCGGCGGGGCGGCCGCGGACCGTCGGCCTGGCCAGCGGCAGCGCTGATCGGCGGGGCGGCCGCGGACCGTCGACCCGACCCAAGAGGGACGGACAGGGGACCGACCACGACGACGACGACGACGACGACGACGACGACGACGTCGAAGACGACCGACGACGACGACGGCGACGACGAGCGAAAGCGAGAGCGAGAGAGAACGACAGCAGGGCCACGAAGGGCACGAAGTAGGCCACGAAGGGCGACAGCGGGGACACGAAGGGAATGCGTATGGGGCCACGAAGAGCGCGAACGAGCGGGGGCCACGAAGTGCAGATAATGCGGGGCCACAGAAGGCAACTATGGGGCCACTGAGGGTAGCAACTGGGCCACGTAGGACAGTGAGGGGGACACAAATGGCGACAGCGGGGCCACGAAGGGCATGCACATGGGGCCACAACGGGCGCGACTCCTGGGTGCCTGGGTGTCGGGAGCGCGGCGCTTGGGCAAATTGCAAGAAATTCCAACGCAAGGCTATTCTTAGTAAGTTGCAAACAAGTCTCCAGCGAGAGCGCGACTCCAGACCGCCGGGAGAGCGATTCCTGAATAAATTGTAAGGAAGTCCCAAGCGAGAGCGCGATTCCTGAATAAAATGCGAGGAAGTCTCGGGCGGGAGCCGGGGTCCTGGCTAAATTGTAAGGAAATCTCAAGCGGGAGCCGTTGTTGTTGTTGTAACCCGGGGGCCAGGGGGCCAGTTTGAGCAGGAAGACTTTCCCTGTCAAAACACAGGGTGCGAGCGTCGAGGGGCACACTTTGATTGAGAAAAAGCAGTATGCACCGGTGGGGGGGGATCAACAAAAATTATTCTTCAGAATTGAGAATTCAACAACAACAACAACACAACAACAACAACAACAACAACAACAACAACAACAACAACAACAACAACAACAACAACAACAACAACAACAACAACAACAACAACGACAACGACAACGACAACGCAACAACAACAACAACCACAACAACAAGAACAACAACAACAACAACGACAACGACACGACAACGACAACGACAACGACAACAACGACAACAACGACAACAACAACAACAACAATCACTTTACCCGAACGCTCAGTGTTCTCACCAGTGCCAGGGTTTTCATGCGACGCCAGCCAATACCCCCACTTTGTGGGGGGGCAGTGCAAGCTCTACCAAATATCCACACGACTCTTCGCCACCACCCACACCCAGCTTCCCGCCCTATGACGTTCGGACACTTCACTTCGTGGCCTGCGGACGACCGTGGCTACTACACTGGCGTGGAGTACACACCCACAGAAGTTGTTAAGCCTACGTTCGTACACCCACAGAAGTTGTTAAGCCTTGTTAACCCACAGAAGTTGTTAAGCCTTCCACAGAACATCTGTTGCATATGATGCATATGGTACATGATACACATGATACACATGATACGTACTCACAAGATAGTTGATCACATCTTTAGGGCAAATTCCTGAGGGATGTGGGAATACACAAGAGAGAGAGGATATGGTTGTCCCGATGGTTGTCTCGATGGTTGTCCCGATGGTTGTCCTGATGGTTGTGGTTGTCCCGATCGTTGTCCCGATGATTGTCCCGATGGTTGTCCTGATGGTTGTGCTTGTCCCGATCGTTGTCCCGATGACTGTCCCGATGATTGTCCCGATGGTTGTCCCGATGGTTGTTCCGATGGTTGTCCCGATGGTTGTCCCGATGGTTGTGAGCGATGCCGGATCCTCACGCCCCCCGCCGGAGGAGGAGGAGGAGGAGGAGCAGGACAAGGAGGAAAGGAGAGAAGAGAGAGGAGGGGCGGGAACGGCGCTTGCGCGCGTGCGCGCGCGAAGAAAAAACGAATGTGTCCCGCATGGTATTATTTGACAGGGATGATGGCCCTGGCAGGTGCGCAACCGTTGTCGCAGAAGTTCGAAAAAGTTGCTCGCAAAAGCCCGTTTGACAGAAATGTTTAAAAAGTGTTGGGTTTCCTACGAATCCGCAAGAGCGCGCGGGATGAGATTTTGACATTTTTTTGTTGAAAAACCATTGGTTTTTTGATGTTTTTATGTTAAAATCGTTGCGAACACTAAGGTTTTGGAAGGATTTCGTCTTGCGCGCGCGAATGTCCACTTTACCTTATTTTTTGCAAGGGATTCTTGAAATTTGATTATATTAGAACAAGAAATGTCATTTTATAGTGTTTTTTGCAAGGGAAAGCGGGGGGGAACAAAACAACCGGATCTTGATCACATCGAATTACCTGAGGCTTCCTCACGAAAATGATGAAAATGTAGCTGCGGCCTAGGCGGCGCAGGGGGGCCGTGCACCAGGGGTCCCAACAATAATTATTCTTTAGAATTAATAATGTTCAACAGCAACAGCAACAGCAACAGCAACAGCGACAACAACAGCAACGACAACAACAGCAACAGCAACCACAAGAGCAGAAACAGCAGCAACAACAACAGAAATAGCAGCAACAACAACAGCAACACCAACAACAACAACAGCAACAACAACAACAACAACCACAACAACAAACAACAAACGACACATAACAAACGAGAAACGGAAAAATAACAAGCAACAAGCAACACAAAACAAACAACAAACAAGAAACAACAAGCAAACAACAAACAACAACAAAACAAACAATACAGCAATAAACAACAAACAACAAACAACAAAAACAAACAAACAAACAAACAAACTCGGCCTCCACGCCGCCGGGCCACGGCGGCCCGCCGCCCCGCGGGGGCACACGAGCCTTGATGCGCGACACCTCCTCCGAGGTCTTGCCGTACACCGGCGCACCCTGCGCCCGGCCGCGCCGATCGGAGGAGCGGCGATCGGAGGGGCGACGATCGGATGATCCGCAGATCGATTGAGCAATATTGAAGGGGCCCCAGGACACACAAATAAATACACGCAAATAAAAAGAATTCCCATATTTTCCCATATTTTCTGGGTTTTTGTCTTCCCCCCCACTTCCCATAGTTTCCCATATTTCCTGGGGAATCGAGGATTAATTGTGTCTGTGTGTGTGTGTTTCTTTTCCTCCTGAAATATATGTATACTTCACGGACTCGACAGAAGAATCAATTCAAGGATAAATCAATTCTACAGTAGATACCCGACTCGAAACTGATCTAGAGGCCTCCTAGATGGGGTCCGAGTAGACGGGGTCGGAGGATCACGCCGCATCGCCGATACATCGGCGATGCATCGGCGATGCATCGGCGATGCATCGGCGGTGCATCGGCGACGCCGGCGTGGTGATATTCGTTCTCGTTTTGTTGTCGCTTTCCTTACTTTTGTTGTCGGGGAGACGTAAGACTCGGGTTCAGGGGGCACGCTGGTTGGCCTGACGGGACCATCATGGAAATGACGATGGCCCAGTCTGAGACTTGACGCGAACTCCCGCTGCCAACATGCCACGAAAACTGGACCCTCAAAATCCAGGGCGCGCTCGACAAAAAACATCGGCGACCCCGAGTTCCAGAATACTCGAGTCTTCAGCTTCCCCGATTTGCCTTCGTTCCGCCCTGTTGCCCGCAAGACGAAAGCAGAACGGAAGCGGCCCACGGAGCCGCAACAGCACCGTCTAGGCCGAGCCCTGGGAGCCTGGACGAGGGCAGGATCCGAGTCAGCATCGACTCGGGAGGTCGGGCCGGCTCGGAATGCTTGAGCAGAGACCGACCGTCCCGGCATCCCTATAGTCATACCACGAAATGTTCTTAGAACCCACAAATATTCCAAGAACAAAAACAATGTGCTCAGAACATAACCCCGATGTGCTAAAACGAGGCAGTCCCAGCCAGAAATGTTCTAAGAGCATTTCGCAGGAACCACAAAAGGTTCTTAAAACATTGTTAGGTAGGGCTATAGGCGAGCCGGGACGCTTCGCCACTGCTTGAAATGTGGTTACGATCGGGCCGCACAGGCACGTGGAGTCGAAATCGCACCAGACCGGCCGAGCAAGGACGCACAGATAATTACGGTGTGCCAGCACCGGGCCGCATCGAATGGCTGGGACATCCGGGAGCGGCCAAGAGGGGGGTGTCCAAGAAAGCGGGGTGCAAATCATGACCGGCGGCATGTGCGCGGCCCAGCGGGGGGGCCAGGGACAGAAGGGGAAATAGCATGGCCCCCGCCATGATATCCACCCCCCCTAGTCATCACACCCCTCTTCGCCGCCCCCGAAATTACGGTGTGCCAGCACCGGGCCGAATCGGATGGCAGGGACATGGGACTCGAAACGGATCGAGAGGGCCGGAAGCGGCATCGAAGCGAATCGGTCGGCTCGACGTGGGCCCTGCTCGGGGCATGAAGGCCAGCATGCGCAGGGAGCGGCAAGAAGGACGATCAACCCCGCCTTGGGCGTGCAGGAGGGACGCATGATTAACGATAAGATGAGCCCTAATACTTTTGGGAGGGGACCCAAGTTAGGAGGGCCGAAAGACAACTGGGGGCAGGGCCTCCTTTCTGCAGATTTTCATCGAGCCGAACCGCCCAGATGTAGCATCCCTGGTGCGGAGACGGGGACCTCAGTGAGGCTACGTCTTCATCGCGATATTAGGGTTAGGGGCGCTTGTATTCTCACGAGGCGGCCCAGGCGCGTGCAGCCGCGAGCGACCGGGTGCGGCACAGACGATGGCTCGCGCCGGACAGGCGGGCCCAGAGCGTGGCGGGTGCGGGGTGCCTGCCTCCTCCCCCTCCTCCTCCTCCTCCTCCCTCCTCCCCCTCCTCCTCCTCCTCCTCCTCCTCCTCCTCCTCCTCCTCCTCCTCCTCCTCCTCCTCATCATCATCATCATCATCATAATCATCATCATCATCATCATCATCATCACCATCATCATCATCATCATCATCATCATCATCATCATCATCATCATCATCATCATCATCAGCATCAGCATCATCATCATCATCATCATCATCATATCAACATCATCATCATCATCATATCAACATCATCATCGTCATCATCAGCATCATCATCATAATCATCATCATCATCATCATCAGCATCATCATCATCATCATCATCATCATCATAAACAGCATCATCATCATCAGCATCATCATCATCACATCATCATCATCATCACCAATATCATCATCATCAGCATCAGCATCATCAGCAGCATCAGCATCATCATCATCATCATCAGCATCATCATCCTCATCATCATCATCATCATCATCATCATCATCATCATCATCACCATCATCCTCATCCTCATCCTCATCCTCATCATCATCCGCATCATCATCATACTCATCATCAGCAGCAGCAGCAGCATCAGTATCATCATCAGCTTCAACATCATCCTCATAATCAAAGTCAGCACCGACGTCATTAGCAGCATCATCATCATCATCAGCATCAGCAGCATCAGCATCCAAATCAACAACATCATCATCACCAGCCGCAGCATCAGTAGCTGCATCCGCAACAGCATCAGCAGCAGCACCTTCAGAATCAGCATCATCGTCAGCAACAGCAGCGCCAGCATCATCATCATCATCATCATCATCATCATCGTCATCATCATCATCATCAGCATCCTCGGCAACACCAGCATCAGCATCAGCATCAGCATCAGCATCAGCATCACCAACATCATCATTCATCAGCATCATCACTACCGCCATCAGCGACATCACCACCACCAACACCATCGTCATCATAATCATCATCAGCAGCAGCATCATCAGCATCATCAGCATCATCATCAGCATCACCAACATCATCATCAGCATCAGCATCACCAGCAGCATCAACAACATCCGCATCATCACCACCACCATCAACATCGGCTTCATGACCATCGTAATCATCACCGTCATCATCCTCATCACCAGCATCAAAGGCACCATCAGCAGAAGCATCTGCAGCAGCATCATCATCAGCATCAGCATCATCAGCAGCATGGTCAGCAGCAGTAGCAACGTCATCATCATATTCACCATCATCATCATCATCATAACCAGCATCAGCATCATCAACAGCACCAGCATCGTCATCAGCGTCATCAGCATCGTCAGAATCATCATCCTCAGCAGTATCATCATCATCATCATCAGCATCATCATCATCAGCATCATCATCATCCAAATTAACATTACCACCATCATCATCAGCAGCATCATCACCACCACCACCGCCTGCATCAGCATCAACAGCATCCGCAGCAGCAGCATCATCATCAGCAGCATCATCACCATCGTCAGCATCATCAGCAGCAGCATCATCATCTTCATCAGCAACAAAATCAGCATCAGCATACTGATCAGCATCAACAGCCTCATTATCATCATCACCTCCACTAGCACTAGCACCCTCACTGGCACCATCACCACCATCAGCATCACCATCGCCGTCACCATCATCAGCATCGTCATCAGCAGCAACATCATGATAATCATCAGCATCATCATCATCGGTAGAATCATCATCACCAGCATCACCATCATCCTCAGCATCATCATCATCATCGGCATCAGCATCATCATCATCATCAGCATCAGCATCGGCATCAGCAGCATCAGCATAATCAGCATCATCCTCATCAGCATCCGCATCAGCAGCAGCATCATCACCCTCATCATCAGCAGCAGCAGCATCATCAGCATCATCAGCATTAGCATCATCATCAGCATCGGAATCGTCATCGTCGTCGTCATTCGTCTCCACATCCTCCTCAAGCTCCTGCTCCTCCTCATCCTATCTCCTCCCTCTGCTACATCATCTTCCTAGTCCCCGTCATCCCTCCGCCTCCTCCTCCTCCTCCACCCTCCTCCTCCTCCTCCCTCCTCCTCCCCCTCCTCCTCCCCCTCCTCCTCCTCCTCCTACTCCTCCTCCTCATCCTGCTACTCCCCCTTCGCAGCCCCACCTCTGTTTGCAGCCCTCCTCCTCCTCCTCCTCGTGAGCACCCTCGTCGCCGCGCCGCGGCACGCCTTGGCAGACGGGCCTGGCGTGCTCCCTGAGACTGCGTCACCTCTTCCCCTGGCATCCCGAACAGTGAATCCTCTTTTTTTTGAAAGAGCGAGAGAGAGAGAGAGAGAAAACAAAAAAGGAAAGCCAGAGAGAAAGAGAAGAAAACAAACAAACAAACAAACAAACAAACAAACAAGAAAGAAAGAGAGAGAGAGAGCCAGAGAAATGAACAAAGCAAGAAAGAAAGCAAGAAAGAGAAGGAGAAACAAACAAATAAACAAACACACAGAGAGAGGGAGAGAGAGAGAGAAAGCAAAAAAAAGAAAGCAAGAAAGAGAACTATAAAAAAACTAACAAAAATAGAGAGAGAGAGAGCGAGAGAGAGCGAGAGAGAGCGCGGCCGGACGTCCCCGCCCTGCCGGGAGCGGCCCCCTGCTGGCAGCCAAGCAACTCTGCCTGGGCAGGCCGTGGGATGGTGCAGCGTGGAGCACACAGCCGACAGAGAGAGCCTCGCGGGCTGCGCGTCGGCCCACCTCTCTGAAGGGGCCCTGGGGCACACAAAGAAATACACACGACCAACCGGATTCCCCATCTAGTTTCCCGTGTGTTCTGGGCTTCTGTCTGCCCCCCCACTTCCCATACTTTCCCATATGCTCTAGGGAATCGGCGGTAAAGTTGTGTTTGTGTGTGTGCTTTTTCCCCCCCTGACTCTTGCCAGGCCTGCCAGCCCGTCTCCGGGCCCGCGTGCGGAGTCCCGGCTCCCGCAGCAGCAGCAAAATCTCTGCCTCGAGTGTGGCTGCGGCCTCTTCGGCTTCTTCGAGGCTTCGAGGCGCCTTCGGCGTCAAGAGGCTTCGAGGCTTCGAGTGTGGCTTCAAGAGGCTTCGAGGCTTCGAGGCTTCTTCGGCTTCTTCGGGGGTCCTTTCAAGAGGCGAGGCTTCGGGGCTTCGAGGCGGTCCTCGGGGGCTCTGCGAGGCGTCTCGGCCCCCGGGGCGCTGCCGGGGCTTCCTCGGGGTTCCCCGAGGTTCCCCGAGGTTCCCCGAGCTCCTCGGGGGCGCGGTGCCAAGCAATGCCAAGCCCCGCCACGCAACGCCGAGCGACGCCAAGCAGCGCCGCGCAATCGAAATCGATGCCAAGCATTGCCAAGATGTGGCAAGCAAGCCAAACATTGCCCAGCAGCGCCCAGCAACGCTAAGCAGTGCCAAGCAATGCCGAGCAGCTCCTGGCGAAGCCACGCAATGCCGAGCAATGCCGAGCGACGACTCCAGGCCATGTCAAGAAACGCCAAGCAAAACCAAGTAACACCAAGCAATGCCAAGGAGTGCCAATCGATGCCAAGCAAACCGTTGCCTCATAATGCTCTGCGTTTCCAGTGACTGCTTCGCACTGCTCTAGGAAAAAGATCCCTAATTCGGGGTCGCGCCGGGCCCATCTTTCGGAAGCTGGGCGGGGGCTGCTAAAACCGTGGCTGCGAAAACGGCCCTCCCAGAAGAGAAAAACAAATTCCTGGAATGAGGCGCGGCACGCGAAACAGTCAACGGGCTTCTTCCCGGAAGGACGAAGACAACGTCCCGGAGGTCGATTTTAGCAGCCACGGATTTAGCAGCCCTTGCCCGGCGTCCGACCTTTCCCCCTCGCGCGAGGAGTCCTGCCAGTTCCGTAGCATGGTCTCGGTGACGGGCATCGAGGAGACGCTGTTCCTCTGCCCACCCACCCCGCCCCGCGCCGGACGCGGACGAGGAGAAGAGGAAGAACCACAAGGGCTCCCAACTTCGCGCTCCGCGCTGCGCGAAGCGCGAAGTGCGGAGAACTTCGCGTCCCCGCGCCGCCTCCCAGGTGAGAGGCATCGGAGCCGAAGCGCGAAGCGCGGAGCGCGAAGAACTTCACGCCCTCGAGGGCGGCCTTGTGAAGAGCCAGGAGGGGCAGGTGGAGGGAGAGGGCATTACTTGGGCGTGGGTCCGCGTCGAGCCCTAACCCCACTGGAGCAGGCCGCCGCAGCGACAATGAGGGGGCCGACCGAGCGAGCGAGGCGGCGAGGGCCCGCGGGGCACGAGCGGAGGGGACGGGCCGAGGCGCAGAGGGGCCACGGGCACCCTCGCGGGGACTTCGTGGCGGCAATTGGCATCGAGAAATTCGGTGCTCAATTCCGAACGGGGCAGGAGAAAGAGAAGGAGGCGAAGGCAAGGGAGAGAGGAAGAGGAGGAGGAGGAGGAGGAGGAGGAGGAGGACGAGTCTCGTCTCGTCTCGAACCCATTCAAGCAACAATCCATGCCTGGTCGCATCTGCTCTGGATGGAGGAGGAGGAGGAGGAGGAGGAGGAGAACGGCGACGAGGCCACCGCGACGGAGGGCAGGCATGGGAGGATGGCAAGGAGTCCGCCGATCCCCGCTTGCCAGGGATGCAGAGGAGTGCGAGATGATCAGGTGCCCCCCTCTCCCTGCCCCCCTCCCCTGGGGTCCGAAATCCGATGCGAGGGGAAAGGGAGGGGGGGGCGGAGGGGGGACCCTGGGCTCCCCAACGCTCTCCTGGGGCCTCGAGAGCCTCCATTTCTGCACGCCGTGGCCTCCAAGATGCCCGAGATTCCACCTGAGCTGGCTCGAGCTGGGCTCCGACTCGCCGACGAGGCCCAAAACATCCGCCGATCCTGCCGGCGTGTGCGAGACGCTGTTCCGTCTGCCAAGACGATAGTTAGCAACGTCGTACAGTCGGGGCCTTGACCTAAGGAACCCTGAATACGGAACAAGGCCCCTTTTTTCCACAAGTTAAACTTCGATTTCATATCGAAAACCTAAGGAAAGCCTGAGGCAAGCTGTGAAACAATTAAGGAACCCGGAGCCCCTCCCCAACGAAGAGGGTTCCGTCTTCAGGGCCCCGACTGTAGTCGTAATGGAGTCGATGGGAGGCTCCTTCTCTCTGACCCCTTCCCCGCAGGGAGCGCAGGGGGGTTTCCCAGGGCCCAACAATCTCCAGGACAGCCCATGCCCAAAGAGGTCCTCAAGGCAGTCCAGGAGGGCTTGGAATCGCCGAACGAACGGTCCAGGACGCGAAAGAATCACGGAACAAGATGCTGCTAAGACGCTCGAAGAGGCCTCCAAAAGCACACCAGGAGGACCACAACAAGCAAAATTCAAAGATTCCCCGCAAGTTTGGGACAGATTGTGGTGTTCTCGCATGTTCCCGCTTCCCGACGCCCCAAGACAGCCCAAGATGCCCCCAAGAGGCCTCCAAGACGGCCCTACAACGACCCAAGAGTGCCA